ATAAATATAATAATAAATATAAATATATATGGCGATGAAGACAACCGATGAATTCAGCCGCTGCACACAAATGCATGGCTGCAAGAATTCATATAAACCTATACTTATGTAATGTTTTAAGGTAGCGAACTGAAGTATATAGTTAATGGATTCTCATATCTCCATATAAATAATGTTATATTGCCTATTGCCTATATATTGCTATATACTGTGTATATTGCACCACAATTTTACACTAATCTTTAAAGCATTATTGCCACACGTTAAACAATCTAATCAAGCATCGTGATCATTTGTGTTATGTTCGATCGTTCAAACATCAAATATAAGTTTGCTTTGTTTGGTATCCATCTTGTGCAATCCACTACACGCTGAATCGCAACGTTTTAATGCTAGACTGATCCGACGTCATTGCGATGGAAGTGGGTTGCATGATTCAAACGAATTTGAAACAGTGTAACTATGGCCCCTTGCAACGCGTGATTTAACTGAGCCTAAGACGAATTTCAAAGTTGGAAAGATTTACCTTCGTGTCTTATTCGACGTTTAGGGGCTCTAAGAACAAGAATCATGACAGCAGTACTACAATAGATTGCTGTGGGGAGAAACATGCTTTAAATGCTGAGTGAGAAAATAATTTTTCCAACACTGCTAATATTGACAAGCACTGCGCATATAACCATACTAGCAGAATGAAGGGTAACATTGTTGTATTTTCACATTTTAACTTAAATGCGTGAAGACTGCATATATTACTGACTTTTTTACTCTTTTTTTACAAGACGTCTATTCATCAAAGAAATTCACTGAACAGGTTCTCTATTAACATGATGATGAGTACAGTCTGTAGCACATTGGGAATAGGTAAACTGCTTATTACAATCTCCACGTGGTTCATTTATGGCAACAATGATTTCCTTTCATTTGTGTGATGCGATCGTGTATTTCATATATACGCAGGCGGGTAGAGACGTATTTTCCCGTGATGTCTGTGAAGTCGGCTGGGGCTATTTCTGTTATCGTAGGCCCAATATACACCCGCACAACTTGCACTA